CATCTTTTACAAGGTCTTATAGGGACAGAGACACTGATGTGGAGCTACGACCGTAATTTATATTCTTTGTAAATTGTCTGTGATTTTTTTTCATTGAGATAAGTGCGGGGAGAACATCTGTTTTGTGCTGGAGGGCAATGGGCCAGGGCCTGAGTTCTGTGGCAGTCATAGGCGTATAGATAGAGAGAAAGAGGGGAGGCGCACGATCTGTCTCCCTACCCTGAATTACAACTCCAGGGGCGCAGCTACCCGCTCATCATTACTGTTGTATTTAGTTGAACACATTGGGTAGGGTAAACAAACATTGAGCTCCATCTGTACAGCCTTGGAGATACGTGATATCATATTAAGAAAACTTTAATTCCTGATTCATCTCAGTCTAATTCAGTTAGCTGCTTTCACTGTTTCCCGCCTAATTCTCATTAAAGATGACCATTTAGCAGACATTCCGGGAGAGTGAGAAAAAAGATTAACATTATACGGCAAAAGGGGATGATGCAATATGATTTAAAAGATGTTGCCTAACGTGTTCCAGTTGACTGACCCATCACCCCCGTAATAATTACCATTTATAATTAAGCATTCATGGCTGATAGCTGAGGCCACTAGGGACTAGAGGAGTAAGAACTGCGGGCATCACAGTGACCGGGCGCCGAGGCCTCATTGGCAGTCAAAGAGCTGCGCGACCCGCGGCGTCTCGACATACGAACACTAACGGGGGAGTTGGAGGGGTTCAGAGCAGCGCAGACAATGAATCTCAATCCTGAGGCCGTGGCAGATTTACATTTAAAGTAGTTTTAGCGAACGCCCCACTTCCTGATGCATTCTTTGGCAGGGCTGAGGGGAGGGCTTATCTGCGAGTCATCAATTGCACGTGATGCGTCCAGATAGGAGCCCCCGACGCGGCGCCAGCACCTTTCTGCTCACACATCCAGCTCAAAGATGATGTGCTATCTAATAGAGCGCCCTTGCTTGAAGTCTAATTACATTACGCGTGAAACACCTCTGCTCGGTGTCGACAGCCCCAGATGTGTGTACGCACGCATGTGTTTGAACACATGTGACCCATGTTTTACCTGAGATTGACAGAACCTGTAATGACCAGCATCAGTGTGTTATTGATGTTCTGTCACTCTTCTGGCTATTAATGTTATCCTACATGGAGCAACAGGGTTACCGGGAAGTGTGTGTTTGTGTGTGTGTGTGTGTGTGTGTGTGTGTGTGTGTGTGTGTGTGTGTGTGTGTGTGTGTGTGTGTGTGTGTGTGTGTGTGTGTGTGTGTGTGTGTGTGTGTGTGTGTGTGTGTGTGTGTGTGTGTGTGGGTGTGGGTGTGTGTGTTTGTGTGATGGCTCAGGGGCATATTTCTGCCTCATATTTATACTTACAGTAATAGGGTTGGTGTGTTTGGATGAGTAGGTGTGAGTGTGGTTGACACTGTGGGGTAAAGGCTGAGATGGCTGAAGGCTCTGAGGGGTAATTGAGAACAGCAGGTGTCGCCCCCCCCCTGAGCCACTTCGGGCCCCGAGCAGTTCACCCTCCGATCTTCAAAGCCTTTACGGCCCAGCTCTTTTGCCCAGATCTCCTCTTCTTTCCTTTCCTTTCTTATATCGCCCTGTGTTCTGATTTCCTCTCCTCTCCTCTCCTCTCCTCTCCTCTCCTCTCCTCTCCTCTCCTCTCCTCTCCTCTCCTCTCCTCTCCTCTCCTCTCCTCCCGGCTGCACTGCCAGTTGAGCTTGCTGGGGAGAAAAACAGTATGAATTGTATTAATCAAACCAAGGGCATCATGGGGAATAGAAAAGGGGCTACAGCTATTACTGCTACACCGGTTCTCCAAGAACAAAATCTTTCCTTACAGCACACTTGATATAGTTGAGTGGTTTTGGGCCTGGTACAACAGTAACAGCGTTTTCATGTATTTTGAGTAATTTATTGAGGACAAACTATAATCTCTGTTTATTGACTTTCTATAAATGGCCGATAGTTACCAAAAATGGGATTGCATTTCCCCAAGCCAGTTGTTGCTCTCTATAAATGAAATGTTTATAAAGTCAGAACATTTTAAAAGTCCAACACTGAACATTTTAGGATTTTATGATGATTCACCAGAGCTGTGGATTGTCCTGCTGATCTCCGTTGGAACAAGATATTCTCTCACAGTCACACAGATTTGTCTCTCCCTCTCTATCTTCCTTTTTTAGCTTCTTCCTCCTGTCTTTTTGTACTACCCGTCGGCCTTTAGACAGTGAAGCTGAGCCTGTGAGCTGTGTGTCGCCTGCCTGTGGGCCAGGACTCTTTGTTACCCATGCAGAACACGTCACCAACCTCATAAACTCCCCACTCCCCCCCCCCCCTGACTTTTTCAAATGAACAAATCTGATTGAGTGAATGCCATTACCTGGGTAAATGAATGATTCCTAAAGGACTGGACAAGGCCTAACACCACCCTGAGGGTAAAGCTTATTATCGTTGCAAACTCCAAAGAAGAGTGAGGCGGCAGTGTGCACTTTGTCAGAGGCCTGTATTTCCATATTAATCTGCCACATTTAGGCATCTGAGACAGAGAGCCTCCTGTCACGCTTCTTTGATAACAGAGCAGTTAGCTTTTCCCCTCATGTATAAATATGTATAATTCTGATAAGATTAATTGAAACGCCTAAGTATACAGTGGAAATGGATGAGTGGGAGGGAGGGAGAGGGAGACAGCAGGAGTGGAAGAGACACATTATGTTGCCATAGCATGCATTTTAGACTGGCCTCTGCCTTAGACCTACTCCAGAGTGGATGCCTAGGCGCTTTCCTCCGGGTCCAAAGTGCCTTGAATTGAAAATAGCATCTACTTAACAGTCCCTCAAAAATAGCTGAGCGAATACGTTTTTCGCGCATAGCCGATAAATACGCCGTGGAGCCTTTGACACCGAAGCCTCACCCCAATTTCCAGTGCTCTGGAGGAGATCAGATAGCCCTGTGTCATTTGATTTTCTGCCTTATCTCATCTGCGCCCATCTTTTTGTCTCAAGCTGAGCTACATTTTAAGAAGCACACGCTCCTTGTATCTTTTGAAGGACAAAACCGAGAATGATATCGAAACAAATAATAGGAATCGCCCTGGTAGAGGGGGCCATTCTGCTTTTTGATTGATACCAAGTGCTGACGCAGGCATGTCAAACGAGTGTCCTTCAAACGACATTTGGGATGCAAATATCTTGAAATTGCAGCAATCTGCAAAGTTCTTAGTTCATGAGTGCCATTTATGACCGCTCCTCGACGACGGGTGACATTACGGATGCTGTAAACTAGAACACAATTTATACTTTGTGTATATCCCTCACAGCCATTGAGCAGTTCCACATTTCAAACTGACCAATAAAAGTGTCTGTTTAATAGTTGTTTTCTGCAAAGTATGCTGAGTATTGAACAAGGGAGGGCAGTGAGTGAGGAGAAAACAGCAGGAGAGAGGGCGGTGTGGGAGAGTGGCGTTAAGAAATCGTGAGACAGATGAAACAAGAGGGGGGGCGGGGGGGGGGGGGAGAAGGCAGGAAAGGAGTTGGAGCGAGGGAGGAGACAAAGACGGTCCCTGGAGCGCAGCTTGAGTTGACTGACGGCAAGAAGAGAGGGCTGTAGAGAGAGGAAGGGAGGAGGAAAGGGAAGAAGGGAGATCAGCAAGGACTGAGCATGTCAGTGTGTGAGTGGCGTCTCTCATTAGAAGGTGCTGTCAGGGGCCACAGAGGGGGGACTGCAGGGACCCCACCCCCCCCTACTTCTCCTCCTTCTCCGCTGGCCCCTGAGATCCGACCGGGAAAAATGATTGATGAGTGATACCAAGATAAACACGCGCCCTGGCCCCAAAAGGCAGCCCTGCAAAATGATGCATGCAGCGTTATAAATAAACCTTGTGAAAAAAGAAAACCTTTACAATAAACAACCAAACAATGCAAAACAACCGTCGGGTTTTGCTTATTTTGAATATTGTTCGAGACAACACAAATCTACCCAGCTTTTGTTCTTTGAGTTTTGCTATATTTCTTTGTATATGTTTGTGTTTGGGTGTGTTGTGTCTGTGTATGTAAGCAATGAACACATGGCTGATAAGGCTCACCTGCTGATTGGTTGGTTAAGCAACAGTGACACTGCTTCTTCAGCTGCTTTCCTAGTTATTCACTGTGAGGCCCCAAACACTGAGGCAAAGCTGTTCTCATTTCAGAAATATGAATATGTGTGTGTGTGTGTGTGTGTGTGTGTTAGAGTGCAAAACTGTGTGGGAAATTAATGTGACATATGTATGGATTCATACCGATGACACACAGCCACTCAACAATACAATCAAAAACAAATAAACCCACTCAAAACCATGTTAAACCGCTCACTAATTGTTGCGTAAGCCATACATGTTTTATGCTACACTTTCTGTTAATGTTTAACACTGAGCGCCAAATGCCTCTGTTACAAATCGAAGTGGAAAGGCAGATTATCATCAACTAGTTACATTATGTCATTATGAGCCTACAGGCTGTGGTCTGGTGGAGGGAGAATGAATTATGAATGGAGTGTGAGGGAGGATCTTCGCTCCCCCTTAGGGACTTCCAACACCACAACTCATTTAAGTTGGATGAATGAGAGATAAAAAAGGAAGCCCCCCCAACTCCAGCTCCCCCGAACCCAAAGCTACTTGCCTTACACACTGTCCTTCATGTAATTTACTCAGTGAGAAGAGGTGACACTTAAGCCGCTCCCAGCACACACTCTTCTCATTGGGAGAAATGTATGCTGAAGGGTGCTTTGTTCATTGTCAAAGTGTGCATACCAATGTTAAAAAAACACCGTAAAGAAGTCTTGTCATCTAAGTCACTGGTGCATTTTCTGCCTGGTGCAGATTTGTGTCGGGCCTCTTTGTACATCTCTCAAATGAGTCCCCTAGCTGTGCTGCTTTGCCTAAAAATCCTTCTCATCTCATCTTTTTTCCCTTTTGCTCTCCCCTCTCTCTGTCCCGTCTCCACGGATCCAGGCCGCAGAATGGGTCGATGATATTGTACAACAGGAAGAAGGTGAAGTACAGAAAGGATGGCTACTGCTGGAAGAAGAGGAAAGACGGGAAGACCACACGGGAGGATCACATGAAGTTGAAAGTGCAAGGAGTCGAGGTGAGTGCGCTGACAAGAGTTTGGATTTGGAGGGAGTGAACAGGTGGGGGTGGGTTTGGGATGGACGAGAGCCAGCCTTCACACTGACACAGACTAACACAGGTCTACACTGAGCTCTCCCCTGGCTGTAATGGAGACAGTCACATGCTGCAGTAGACCCATGTCTCCGAGGAGCCTTACCAAGAAACAATGCGGCACAACAATAGTTTCCCTGGGTAGCCAGTGGAGTGGAACCGATTGTTTGTACCTTATTAAGGCTGTGGATGTTGCCTTTGCTCCAGAGAGCCTACATTAATCTTGCTGGCTCAAAGCAGTACTGTGGAGCTGGCGTTCCTACACCTCACCCCACGTCACTCCCTCCCTATACAAGCCACGGCAATAAAAGGACCGGATGTATCTGTCTGGCTGGCTCAGGTGGTGCCAATACAGTGTTGACACCCTGATTGAATATAAGCAATCCAATTATAAGACGTCTCAACCTCAGATTCTTTTCCTGAGTTTCAGTAGTGTAAGTCTGGTGTTTTTCACAGGTGCCGAAAGCACGGAAGTTAAAGAAGAGTAGTAAGAGATGTGGGATTTTTGTGTCCTTTTTCCGTGTGTGCACATGTACACACCGCATAACCACACACCTCAGGGAGCGGTGCTGTGAGTCTGTCACACAGTGCGACAAAGACAAAGCTCAGGCATTCTCTCAACAGGGGCTTTGCTCCCTGTTTGTACTCCTCCAGATATTTGTCACTCTAAGAAAATGGCCCTCTTCCCTCGCTTTGCCAGCTCAGTGTCATCTCTGGTCCTGCAGAGGTCTGATAACCTGTTGGGACTACACACATCCATCGTTTTAGACTGTTACAAATGTTTCTGCTTCCTGACAGTTCTGGCTTCTCAGAAGGTTTACTCAGCCAGCATGCATTTATACGGTTATATTACCAGGTGAATACAGGTTATTGTCAATTCCCACAATTTGCAGTACACATAAGCCTGCAGAAAGGGATGGAAAGTGCTGTCTTACATAAAGGGCAAAGCTAGCATTTCTGACTCAATGTATTTGATGATATGGTAGGAGAAATAACTGGCTCCTGTCTGGTAAACATGACTTGTACATGTGCAGTTATTTCAAAGGCCAGCTGATGCATACACATATAAGTGAACGTATATCTAAACTATAAGATTTCCATTAATAATACACAATTATTTACCTTACTTCTGCTGTCTGTTATATCAGCAAAAAGAGGCACTGCTCCATAACAGAAAAGTGTACATTATGCCACTGTCCTATTTTCCAGCATCAATTCTGGTCAATGCTCCAGAAAAGTAGCCGTTTTACTTTAAAGCAACTCTCGTAACTGGCACATCACAGCACACTGTAACTTGGGTTCTTCTCTTGGCCGCTTATAGCGCGTTTTCTTCTGTGGTTTTGTAGCTGTCACCATGGACAAGGAGAAACATATATGGTATAAAAATATCCAGACCTCTGTGACCAGCAGTCCCAGCTTTATACAATTAATATAAAAATAGACATTTCCTTGCAAGCCATATCCAATGAGATTGACTCTTAAGGTGAGGAATCACGTGAAATAAAACACAAGAAAGTCCTGAATCCAGGGCAGTCTTCAGATTCATGTTATGTGCTACATGTTGTGCTATTTATTTCTGATCACTTGCCGCATGCCGTGACTGAATTGTGCTCGGGATGCCCAATGGCTCACTTTACAAGATGCATTGAACATGTGCTGGGAAACAAAAATGGGGCATACAATATAACATTTGAGTGTTAAAGGAATACACGTTCCTTTGCAATTTGGACATGAACATTGAGTTACTGTGACTACTGGTGACTAATACAGTATTTCGTGTCCATCAGTAGCAAGTACCACACAGAGGCTGAGGTGCAGCTGTCCAAACGCTAAACCTGTAGTGTGCAGTGTGCAACAACGTCAGATAGAGGATGTACTAAAGCACAGTCATCATGACTCACACATGAAGACTGATGGCTGTTCACTGAGTGTAAAACTCCATCCTGTTATTCTGCTGTGAGAGATCCAATATGTTGTAACCGGTCTAATTTACCAGAGCTAATTGCTGTTAACAGCAGCGCCAATTCAAGGTGTGAAGGTGAGAGAGGTAGAAACTGACTCAGGGCCTCATGGGATAACATTGAAATTATCTTTATTATTATGTCTTTATTAAACAAGGACCATGCATACAAATACCGTAATTTCAAAAAGAGAAGAGATAATTGATGCTACATTTAGCTATTATGTCATTTCAATCTGCAGTCCCTGGGTGGGTACATACATAACAATCAACAAACACTTAAAATAGACAATATTCTGTATCACAGTAACAATTGTACATACATATAAAAAAATAAACAGATAAAGACTTATATATACTTGCAGCAATTGGACATTAACTACTGCTAATTCACATACATATAGCAGGCCTGTACATACAGATACAGTGCACACACTGTCTGTGCTGACTTGCGCTGCTGAGACTGTGTTTATGTACACATCCTGCAACCTTGGAGGACCTGAGTCATGTCTTTCTTACACCTCACCCTTCAAGACTGACAGAGGAGGTGATCCATCACTGCTGCAAACAGCCTATGATGGGAACCATGACCCACCATGTTTATTGTAAGCACATACAAATGACTTGACCTTTGCCTTTAGTTCACTGAAAGTACAAGACCACAGGAAAGAATAAAGGGCTATCTATCTCTGCTTACAACTGTATTTAGAAGTAGAAGGGAAAGATCCATTAAAATACATCATTCATTATACAAGAGTACAAAGAGTCGACTTAACTTGAACATAACCTCAGTTGTTTTACAGGAGTCTTTTCATCACTCATGCTGTGCTGTGTATCTGCTCTGATTCCCCAGACACCCAGTCCCTAATAGAGGTTCTGTGGTTATTACATGGGCCAGGTTTAGTGCACAGAGAGGACAAGTGTTGTGGGTGGTTCAGGCAAGTGATGCTCAGTGGCTCCGGCGAGAAAAAGGCTGCGAGTCCTGGAGCGAGGGGCCTTCTGGGGCCTGCAAGAGGCAGCCTAGCGTGGCAGGAGTGGATGTCAGCGCGTGCTGCTGCTGTCCTGTCTGCTCCGCAGTGCTGGCTCAGCAGCCCGTGTAAACTAAGGCTCTACTCTATTTTTCCCTCCCTCTCTCTGTCTATACTTTTTACTCTCTTTGAGTGTCTTTCTCTCTCCCCTCTCTTTCTCTGCCTTTCATTTGCCTGTCTTTTAATTATTTCACTAGATTTGTTATCGTCCTGCTCCACTCCCTCTTCTGTGCTTCCCGTTTTTCCTCCACAACTCATTCCACCGCTCTCCAAGGCCACTGTCCAGACGGACCGAACCTTTACTTGGGTGGTAATGCTCCCTGTTCCCTAAAATTGGAGCGCAGGGCATGTTGCGGCATTAGCGCTTAACAGGCCGTGAAATAGCAGCCTGCCTTCCTGACGTCTCCCCCATCACTCCAGGTGAGTCGGCCAGACGGCTGGATAAATGAGCAAGCAGCACCCCCAGCATCCCAGCATGCATTTGGGGCACCTGAGGAAAGATGTCCATCAGTGATTATCTCACCACACCCTGCTCTTACCAAGTTGTTACCATGCTCCTGGCCATGACCAAGCTTCCATGGGAACCCTTTGCAGCCTCACTATAATGAGGACGCCCAGTGGCTGTCTATCAGTCAGGTTACACCACGATTTGATTGGCTTATTCTCCCACAGAGTGATGTCATCTTAATTCAGGCTGTAGGTCTCATTGTGTGCATAGCTCTAGCATCCCCTGGCTTCTCGCTGTGAAATAGCAGAGACCTCAGAACACATCTGCTTTGATAAACTCCAGCTGATCTCTCTTCTGCTTCTTGTCAAGCCCCACGCTAGCACATCTTCTTATCTGATTAGCTGTTAATGTCAACTTAACCCCCCCCCCCCCTTCTCCTCCACCTCTTCTATCCTTTCTCCCCATTATTCCTAAGCTTTAATAAACTCCCTAAAATGCAGATCGATTTTCTCTTAAGTAAAGGTGGCAGTGCCTCTGACTTATTTCATTACCACAGGCTAATTATACCGATTGAAATGAGCTTCTCCTCTTAAGGTGCTCTGTGCTGCTCTGCGCCCCCACGCTCCCCAGACTTTAATGCCAATACAGTTCTCTACCAATTCCCTAACTCCCATCCCTGCCTCAGCTCCACCCCGCCATCCGTTCATCCAGACCTCTCACCCTCCACCACCTAAATAATCAGCTGGTGCGTCCTTAGCCCCTGTAACTTGTCATTTCATGTTGGATCCACCCTAATGTGTGATTTCAACTGTGCAACTGTGCAATGAAGGAAGGTAATGGAGCATGCTGGTGGCTCAATCGCCTCTGTTCATTGATAATAATGAAGACAAATGTCAAAACATTAGTTGCTAATGTTGTAATGGAGTGGATGCTAGTGGATGCACGCTGGATGCTACACTGCATTGGCTTTCAATATCACATGACCTTCAACATTTAACTCCCCTTTTTATGAGGGGTCTAGCAATTTATTTTGCAGCAAATCAGACTCTGAAGTTTTTTGTCCATCCAAGCACATTTATATCTGGATTCAAAAGACTGAGGCACAGCTTCTCACTTCTTTTGTCTGCTAGTTAAAACTTGATGAGAAAAAAAAGTAACATTTCACAATTTCATGGCCACAAGGGTGCGTGGCATTGGTGAGTTATAATCAAACTAGCTGCATATCTGTGACATAGATTTGCTTTGGGTGACTTGTCAGTGTGTTCAGTAGCAGTGGTAGCACTGATTTACAGATGCAGTGGCTGATATCGCCAGATTGTGTGTCCAGATGTGAGAGGGCCCTAAACAAACCGCTGTTTCTGAGAGGAGGTGACATGCTCCCCGTTCTTCTCCCTGCTCCAAGTCAACTGTGAAATTAAGATCAGATTACTGATACAGGCAATGCCCAAAGCAACAACAAAAAGTTTGTATTTTCCATTTTTATTCAAACG